GTGTCTTCCCTATTTTCCCTTGGAGGAGTTGATCTACTCTGGTTATTTGAGTTGCCAGAGTTTTTCCGCTGGTTCCGCCCCATGCTGAGTTTAGCTTGTTTGGAGGCCTTATCAGGTCCGTTCAGTTGATGGCTTCTTCTAGTTGCCCAGAAAGACAGGCAGAGCCTATCTGTTGTCTTCTCCCAGATCTCAGGTGCTGGGACAGCCGGGGTGCAGTCGAACAGCAGCGGCTGCACAGAAGTGTGTGTGACCAGCTTAGACCTTGTTCAGCCTGCAGGGCAACGGGGGGGGCGGGGGGCCGGAAACTAGCAGCAGCCAGATCAGTCCTGGTTCAGCCCTTCTGCGTGGAACAGGGGAACTGTAGTGGCTAGATCAGTCCTAGTTCAGCACCCTGGAGCAGCCAGAGGGTAGGGGAATGGCAGTGGTAGTGCAGGGTACACAAGTGACCAGATCAGTCCTAGTTCAGCCCCACCGGGGTAGCTGGGGGGAAGCAGGGGACTACTTCACCGTCGCCCGTTGGATGCGTGCGGCGCTAGCAAGCCGATCTGTGCCCTCCCAGTGCGGGAGCTCGGAGCGAGAGACTCCCCCACCTCTGTCCGAGGGACGTATGTGGCTCTATCAAATAGTTCTGGGCCTTCCAAAGATGGTAGACCCCTCTACCACCACCTGCAGGGCGAGTGTGGCTCTAGCAAGCAGTTCTAGGCCTGCCCAGCTTGGGAGCCTGGAGCTGGGAACACCTCCCCTGGCCCCCATGGGGTGTGTGTGTCTCTCGCAAGCTGTTTTGGGTCTACCTGGATTGGAGGATTTCTCCGCCTCTTCCTGTGGGACGCCTGCAGCACGCCTGCGGCCCTAGCGAGCGGTACTGGGCCTGCCCAGAGCAGGAGCCTGCTGCTCATGAGGCGTGCGACTCTAGCAAGCAGTTTTGGGGCCCTCCCGGCTCCGTGAGGGCAAAGGGAGCCACTTGGCAACTGGGTTAGTCTGGGAAGGTTAATACCTCCTTCCCTACCTTACACCCAGTCACTTGTAGTTCCCCAGGTCCGAGACCCTATTCACTCCAGTGGGCCACTGCTCCCGGGGTTTACCTGGCAAAATCAGCCAGAAATCTGAGTTCAGCAGGGGAGCCTTGCCTGTTTAAATTAGGCTTCTGTCTGGCTAGATTTCTCTGTAAGTCAGAGGTTGCATTTGGCTTTAAACTCAGGTGTCAATTCTAGCCTCTGCCCACCCACTGCCTTTGTCTCAGCCAAATTCGCCCCCTGAGGGCCGGGGCTCCACCCAGGCGAGTCAAGGGTGCCCTGCCTGTGGCTGCCATTCAGGATGGCTTGCCGGGGGTTTCTGCACTAGTGTCCCCCAAGCTGACTCTCCTCTCCTCACGCCGGCACCACAGTCAGCACAGAACAGAACCAGCCCTTTCCCCCTCCACTTCTCTCCAGGAGTTGCCCCAGAGTCAGGACTCCATAGGTAATAAACCTCCAGGTCTCTGAGTGGGTGGCTGGGGACTCCTTGGAGTTCGATGTTGCAAATGGGGAATATATACAGATTTATACAGTTTTACAGTTTTATGTCTGGCCAGAGGGTGCCGTGGCACGCTGGCGGGGGTAGGAGGTCCAGTTTTTAGGGCGTCTCTCCCATGGAATAGAGTGGGAGGCAGTTTGAACTCTGCTTGCTTGTTTGCATGGAGTAAACTGCGCGAGCCCTTGTTGTGGGGGAGGGGACTCCCGTCTGCTTGGTGGTGGATTTTGTACCTTTTGGTTGTAATTTCAGGGTCGCAGCTCGCCTCAGGAAGGTTGAAGTGCACTCTTCAATCTTCTCTCTTGTCTCTGCTCCAAACCATCAGCTAATTTGCTAAGGTTCTGTCCTTTCAGCCTCCTTCTGGACCGGAGCTTCTGTAAAAAGCTGGCTGCAGTTCGCCATCTTGGCTCCGCCCCCCGGAAAGATTTTAAATTAGCAGGGTCATTCAGTCCTTTGAACTCTTGACTTACACACCAAAATTTGTGTGATAGTCCATCACCAAAGATTATTTTTAATGTTCTGTTAGCTGGTGATTTGCTTGAGTCTTCTTTTAATTTTGGGGAAAGCCACAAAAGGATTTGTTAACCTATATCATTAGGTAAACTGTGACTTTTTTCAGCCCCCAATCAACATCATTTCTGCAACTCTCAGAGCTTGTTTTGAGCCCTCTTAAAATCCTAGTTTGTGTTGAGCTTTAGACCATCCCCTCTGTCACTGTCATAACTGTATCATAACTTTAAATGTCAGAACAAAGGATTGTAAATCAGCAAATCAGCTCATCACATTCCCCACTTTGGGCTTTTAATACTTTTCACCTTTTTTTTTTTTTTTTTTGGTCTTTTCACCTTTTAAAAAAAAAAAACATTCTCAGTGATGAAGGTTTGCTGTCACTGAAGATGTTCAGATCCACAGAGGAGTTGGGGAACTGTCGTAGACACCAACAGCACTGGGGTAAGCACCCAGCTTTCCAGAGGGGTCCTCAGAGATAGAATGCACTTTTATACTGACCAGAGAGTTACACCTTGTATTGTTTTCTTGCTCTTTGAGCAGATTTATTTTTTCTTTCTGGGCTAATATAAAACAGCCTCTTAATATCATATATATGTCAAATTGATAAATTTGGGGATAGGTGAGTCCATTTTCCAGAACAGGGACTAATCTCAAACTTGCTCAATTCATTACACTATTCATTCAGCAGTTTCAAGAGTGGCAGGATGAACTAAGCCAAGTTTGCCAATATCCTGCCTTTCTGGAAATGTGTGTACACTGATAAATGCCCCCATAAAAGCATCTGGGGACTCAGACAAGAGTCTTCAGGCTCTATAAAGCAGTGGCTAGGTCATAGCTTTGGAGACAGGAGACTTTGGTATGGAATTCTTCTCTTCCGGTTAGGAACTGTGTGACCTTGAGCAAAGTCCTTATGTGGTGGGATATGTTGTTTATCTATTAAATGAGAATTAAGCACCTGACCTGCAAGTGTGTCCAGGATAGTTGGCCAGATCACACAAGCAGGACAGCATCCTGGGCCACCTTTGGTAGCCAGTAACAAAAGGTGGCCCAGAACTCTCAGCTCCTCCCGGGGATGGAACCAGAGTTGGTACTCTCTGAAGTTTATACAGATTGGAAGTGACCCTTTAAGAAAAAAGACTACAAAACACAAATATTGGGTATCCAAGAGACTATTTACTTAGAATAAGAAAATAAATTGCAAGAAATTACAAATTTTCAAGGCTGACAATAACCCTAATGTGAACTCTGGACTTTAGTTAATAACGACATATTGACTTTGGACTTTACCTTACGAATGCAGATAATGTAATCTCATGGTCTGTTCCCTCACAGTAAGCCCCCCAGGATAATGATGTATTGGTTCACCAGTTGTACAGCTGTGTCACACTAAGGCAGGATGCCAATAACAGAGAAAAGAAGGGGGGCAGGGAGAGACTATGGGAACTTCCTGTACTACCTCCTCAATATTTCTGTAACCTAAAATAGTCCTAAAAATTGTGTATTAATTAAAAGAAGGTGGATGTACACATTTATGAGTATACTCACCAACATAGATGGATAAATTGAAAAGATATCCTAGATTTTCATATGACATGGAAACATTCTATTCAAAGCCAAGAGTAACTTCCAAATCTTAAATAACTCGAGAATAAAAATGCTGACAACACACACTTCACAAAAATTCAGCATAATATTTTTATTAATTTTAATTGCCTGACACATTCACACTGTGTTTTCCTATATGTTGGTTGCTTCATATGATGACAGTTTTGCAAGATCAGTTTCTACCAAGAAAATAGAAACATAATTGTCTGGCACGGTTAGCCAAAATTTTACAGCTATTTTTACCTTTCTTTCAGCTTCAAAAATTGTTTTGGGTAGTTACATGGAAATTTTTATTCAAATTTCAGAATACCTGTAATACATTTATCTGATATTTGAACAGTAAGATTTCAGCATTTTGATTTTTCTGGCACTGCGATCTCATCTTAAAAAATACTTTTTGAATGGAGAGTTGGAAGGAGATTATGTGAGAAAGGAGCCTTGAAACACAAGCACCACAGAAAACCAGCCCCCTGGGCCCTTCCTTACATGATGTTTGTCTAAAAGTGTTTCTGTGTAGTTCAGTGGCTCTCCAGGTATGATAAAGTAATACGTCTGTCGATCGCCTCCTGAAGAAGAAACTCACTGGCTTCTCTTTCCTTCTGTGAAGTGCACGGTGACTTGTGGCCGAGGGTTACGTTACCGGGTCGTTCTGTGCATCAACCATCGTGGACAGCACGTTGGGGGCTGCAACCCACAGCTAAAGTTACACATCAAGGAAGAATGTATCATTCCCATCCCATGTTATAAACCAAAGGGTAAGTGTGTGCAAATTTTTTAATTCAAATCAAATAGTGTTTTTCAGCTCTCGTTCCAATGTTGCAGCATTTCCATTTCCGCTTACTAGCTTTCTTATAAAAATTATTTTATTGATAGATTGCACAACCTTTCCACTTAGAGAAGTTGGACATAAGAGATTTATTGATGTGGAGGGAAAACTGAGCTGCCATTGTTCTAATATATATATGGACCAGCTTCTGTCCGTCTGGGTGTGTACTAACATTTCTTAGTAGAACAGAAAATAATTGATGCATTCCCTGCCTTGAAGATAAAGCTGAAGGATAAGGAGGAGGGAAGAAAGAAACATGGAAAGGAAAAGGAGGAGGAGGAAGAGAAAGAGCAGGAAGAAGAGGGAGAGGTGAAGGAGGAGAAAGAGGTCATTGATTCTCTAGTCCCAAGACTCTAGTTCTTCTTTGGTCCCACAGAACTGTGTATGGACCTTTTCACTGGAGGGCAAGTTTTTTTTTCTCTTTCTCCTTTCTTTCTTTCTTTTCTTTTTCTTCCTTTCTTTTTTTTTTTTTTTTTTTGA